TGGCTGGGTCAAATGGTATTTCTAATTCCAACTTTTGAAGGAATCGCCATACTGCTTTCCACAATGGTTGTACCATTTTACAGTCCCACCAGTAGTGTATGAGAGTCCCAATCTCTCCACAACCTCTCAGCATTTGTTATTTTCTGTCTTGTTGAACTTTGCTACTAGTGCTGGAGCAAGATGGTACCTCGTTCTTTTGATTTGCATCTCTCTAATAGCTAATGATCATGAGCATTTCTTCGTATGTTTGTTGGCCACTTGAATATCCTCCTTGGTGAAGTGTCTTAGAATAGCTGACTTTCCATTTGACATAATAGTCACTAGTTAATGCCTAGAACAGAAAAATCAGAATTATATTCAGTTATTGGAGAGATGCAAGTATGTTAGAAAGAACCAGGTAAGATGAAGCTGGTTGCTTCTGTGAAAATTAGGAACAGGGATGGTACTGCTGCTTTTCATAGCAAGATTTGTAAACCTTTTATTTAAAACCATGTAATTTTTTGTATGCATAATTTTTTGAAAAGAAAAAATTAAGTTTTATTAAAAGTATGTAATATTTGTAATACTTTCTACGTTTATGTTTGGCCTGGCTTCTTGAAATTGAACGTGTTAACACAGATACTCTTCCCACTCAGAGGGCTGGTTTTCCGTTACTCCTGAGAAGATAGCTGAACACATTGCTGGCCGAGTCAGTGAGTCCTTCAACTGTGATGTTGTAGTAGATGCATTCTGTGGAGTTGGAGGAAATACCATTCAATTTGCCTTAACAGGAAAAAGAGGTAATTAGCTATTAATGAAAAAGAATTACTTTAGTTTTTCTAGTCATTCAATAAACATTTACTTCAGCCTATCTTTGCTGAGATTTAATATATAATTAATAGTTTAACCCCATGTATTTAAAATAATAATAGTTAACATATGTAAGCACACACTGTGTAAACAGTTAACACTCTTAACTGCTAACCAAACAATTTTAAGTTTGAGTCCACTTAGAGATACCTTGGGTGAAAGGCCTGGTAATCTACTTCTAAAAAATCAACCATCAAAAACCATTTGGAGCACAGTTCTGCTTTGATACACTTGAGGTCACCATGAGTCAGAATTTACTCCATAGTAACTAGCTCGTATCAGATGCTGTTGTTAGTGCTTTATTTAATCCTTGAAAGTTTTGTGAAGCAAAGTTTTTACTATCTCCATAAGAGATTAAGAAATTTGCCTAAGATTACATAGACACAGCTAGTATAGCTACTTCATAAAGCAAGATTATAGCATTCTATAAAACCAAAAATACTAAAATGTAAACCTATTCTTTAGAAAGGAAGAACAATGGGCAGAGTGTGCTAACTTTGCCACTCTCTTCCTCTATGACTTTGGCTATCATTTAACCTTACCCAGTTTACCCACCTGAAAAAGGAAGTATTAAATTGAGATAACCTTTTGGATACCATTCAGCTTTAACATTCTAAACCTTTTTTAAAAAAATGATTTTAAATATAACATCAGCTTCATGGTTGTCTGATTTGGAATACGTTTGCATGCACCTTTAATCTAGGAGCACATGAAGATATATGGGGATGAGAAAAAATTAAACAATTTGCCCAAATTCATATAGCTGAGTAGTAAAGCCACGGTTTTTACAGTTTTTCTTATTCTAATATACCTGTCCTTTTAAATTCATTTTTATATGTTTTAGAGACATTTATTGTTAAGTTATACTCTGAAGATACTTTTGTTTGTTTTGTTTTCAGTATCTTCATAGAGACCCTTTCTTGGGTTTCCAAAGCAGTATCACTACGGAAGTAGATTGCCCAACCTTCCTTCAGAGGAGTAGCTGGCTGGTAGGTTTGAACCACCAGCCTTCTGGTTAGCAGTCAAATGCCTTAGGCACTATGCCACCAGAGCTCCCTCATATTTACCATAGCAATGATAGTTTCCATTTCAAGAGATTTCAACTCAACCTCATTTATTAATATAAATTTCTTAACATTAATGAGGAAGGAAGCTCAGTAATTTATATATATAAACTTCTTAATATTAACTAAAAAAACAAACTCACTGCCATCAAGTCGTTTCCGACTCATACTGACCCCTACTGAGTTTCTGAGGCTGTAAATTTTTATGGAAGTAGATCGCCTTGTCTTCCTTCCACGGAACAGCTGGTAGGTTTCAACCACTGACCTAGTTAGCAGTCAAGTGCCTTATCCCCTATGACACCAGAGCTCCTAATATTGACTGTTGTTGTTGTTGTTAAGTGCTGTCGAGTCAGATCTGACTCATAGCAACCCCTCCTTGGGTTGCCGAGGCAGTATCACTACGGAAGTAGATTGCCCAACCTTCCTTCTGAGGAGTTGCTGGTGGGTTTGACCTGCCAGCTTTCTGGTTAGCAGTGAAGTGTCTTAGGCACTACGCTACCAGAGCTCCTAATATTGACTAGGAAAGCATAATATGGAAGCTAGAAAATGGCGTATATTTAGGTGTACTTGAGTGATTTATTGAAAGTCATGAGTGAGTTGAAATTATGTTTGCTTTGCTAATTATAAAACTATAAAAAATGAAAGCCTATTGAGTGAAAACCATAATGTTACCTGTTTCCTCTATGTAAAGTGTCTCATTAAACATCAGCTGCAGATGTTTTTACTGTTTTCCTCCGTAACCTGATGATAGAGGATTATAATAATGTGTTTTCTGTAGAAATTGTCAGATTAGTCTTATTTTGGGCTGTTGTGCCCAGGTTATGAAGGAGTTGCTCAGCGAGGAATATGCCAACACACGACAATGCAAAAGCAATAGGAAAGTTTATTAGCTAACTTAAGTTAGGGTCTTTGCCCTTACCAGATCGGTGGCTTGAGCAAAAGACCCCGTGCCCCGGTATATTCACAAATTTATGGAAAATTATGGGGTGGAGCAGCGCCAGGGCGAGAGGATACAGATGATTGGTTGTTGCTAAGGAATTTAGGGCAGTGATCTAAGATGTTGGGGGACGTAAAGAAACCCCCGGCTTCAAAGTCCATTTAGGAAAATATTATCTAGGGAGGATGCAAGGCTCAGGTATGTGGAAGACTTTCAGGAGCCGAGCAAATCTCCGATACGTGCTGAATCCGGATGGCTTTTGTGATGCGTGCTGAGTTCGGAGGAAGTTCCTTGATACCTGATGAGACTGGAGGGCAGATAAAGGCCCT